TTGTAACCCAGCTTATCATTTCTGGGATCGGTTTAGTTCTTGGTTTGGCCTTTTTCTATTATTCAAAGCAACCCAACTTCTAGGCCTCCAAGTTGATTACTCTTCACCTTATTTCATTTTCCTTTGTCTTGCTTACATGATCATCCTCATGTTTATCGTGGTTTATTTACAAGTGAACTGGATATTTGCTCATGTCATCATCGTGGTTGAATCAACCTGAGCATTTAAACCTTTGAAACGAAGTCAAATTCTGGTTAAAGGAATGAAGGGGGTTGCTTTTAAGATTGTACTGGTTTTGAGCATCTTCTATTGGCTTGGTGCTTGGAGCTCAATGTTAGATCGATAGATTTTGCCGGTGATACATCGAAAACATATTAAAGGGGAAAATCAAATCGTCACCCCTGTTTCATCGCCGGATTGGGGATTGGGTGTGCGGTGTAAGGCTGAATTAAGAAGAAAAACATATTAAAAATGATAAATTCCAAACTTGTCCCAAAACTGCTTTAGATTTACAAAATAGTCCATAATAAATTTTATCTAAAATTCAAATGTTAAAACAAAAATTAAACAATTTTATTAACATGTCACATCATCAAATCGTTAAACCTTTAATAGTTATTTAGGGTAAATGACCACATCTTAATTAAAACAAAAATGACCATGTATTATGTTTTTTTGAATCAGATGATCATAAATTTATAAAAATCAAACGAAAGTGATCATTTATGTAATTTATCCTTATAAATATAAGGGATTTGAAAGCACTCAAACATCTCGATTGTTGATACAGTTTTTCCAAAACTGTAATTTTTGTATTCCGATATAATTTTTCTAGAAATAAAATTATTTGTGTTTATGCTTAGAATTCTGTTTGACTAAATATATTGATAGTGGTTCTCACATCGAAATTCTTTAATTCCATATCCATGACTTGGGATCATGTATAAGTGGTAATGAGAAATTGTGAAACACATTGACATTTTGAGGATCACTTTCACGTTTGTCTGATAGTACGCAATCGTCCCCTAATTTTTTTTAAACTATCATATATTTTATAATATTTTATGTATTTTTTATTAAAATTTTATAAGTTTAAATTCGTCTTTTTAAACTTTAAAAATTTAAATTCGTTTCTCTTTAATATAAAATAATGTGTCTATCCTTATTATACAATCACTATTTTTTTTATTCCCTCTCCAAATTACTACATACGTAAGAAAACAAAAACAAAAATGAACCGATCCTATTGTGTGAAGTAGTGTAGTATGGGGTCATTTAAATTTGTTTATTTTTTATAAGATCTGTTAAATGAAAAGGCGATAAAATAAAGTAGAGAGAAAGAAGATAATTACCCAATACAAGCTCATCACTCGTCAGTCGTTATTTTCAAACCGTATTTATTCAATTCAAAGACAACGTCCCCTTACAACGAGGCTACTGCAAGCAGAAACAGTGGCCAATGGCCTACAAATAAAACCAAAGGGAAACAAAATCACCAAAGTAGCAAAATCTGGCTCGCCCTGGGGTGGAAGTGCTTCATGGAGGAAAACCCAAAATGCCAAAGGATCGAAGTTGCCCTATAACACACACCGCCCTTGAAGAAGGCGACTGACTAAATTAAAATAATAATAATAGTGAAAAAGAAAGGATGGAGAGCATTTGAGCCACCCCTGGCTGCATGGTTTTTAGCATTTGGAAGGGGTGGCTCCTAAGAGGGTTTGATATTGAAGCTTCCTATGGGTTGATATAGCAAGCTAGTGTCATAAAGAAGATGGCAAGAAAAGGGTGATTTCACCTTTTTTGTTATTTAAAAAAAAAAAAGATGAAAAAGGAGGTTGGTAGTTTCAGCATCTTCCAAGGGATATGCCATTGCCTATTTCCCACCCCCCTTGATTTGCACCAAATATATCTTTTCATTTTTCGTTGCTTACTGCATCTCCTTTTCCAATCCCCTCAGTGCGCGACAGACAAAATCCAAATATCTATTCAAAACTGTTCTCGACTGTTCGGTCCTATTTTTTTTTTTTTAATAAAAGCCTCCAGTATTATTAAAAATGAAAATATTCGAAATTATAATAAGAATTTACAACTGTCATCGAAAATTAAACACATAATTTGAACTTTTACTATAACGAATCTCAAAAGGGAATTAAGCTATTGAAAGACTATCGAAAACTATAGATCAGAGTCGAGCGTCATGAGAAACTATCCATAAATGCAAAATCACGCATCCAAATTCAATCCGAAAGTCCATAGCAGGAACGATCAACAAGATTTCAAATAAGCGTTATCTTGATCAGTCGTGTCGTACGTGGTCAAATCCAACCCTGAGAAAATATAAATAAAAGAACGGATAAACGACCAAGAAAAAAAACGAAAAACATGTCACAAAGACAGAGATAAACGTGCAACACATGCATAATTATTCTTATTAAAAAAATAAAGAGAAAATAGAACCGACGATCGACAACTAACATCAAAATTAATGTCGTCGCCGACTAAACAAAATTAAAGAATAAAAAGTTAAACTCATATATAAAAACGATACAAACTCAGAGAAAAAAAAAAGAAGAAGGTAAAAGAGAGAGCGACTAAGATTTCCTGTTCGGTCCTATTTGAAATTTTCATTATAATGTAAAATTTTATAATCAAGTTTAATAATAAATGTGGAGGTTGCCTTAGTGGTAAGACATCTTTATTCCATTCCTTTGGTCTTGAGTTTGTTTGACTCCCGGCCAAGTAGTGTAGGCACTAGTGGTTGTGATATAGGAATTTAAACTTATAAGGTCAAGTTTAAATTTTATTATCGTCACTCTTTGTAGACAATCTATAAATTCATATGTAAATTTAAATTTGGTTTTAAATATGTCTTTGTCTTGGACGGAATGAACTAACTTTTTTTTAACAAAAAAAAGGTTTAATAATAATAATAATAAATGAAACTTTAAGTGGGGAGTAGTATTTAAAAAGTAAAAAAGAATGTATATTTTCTTTATTTTTCTTTAACTAATCTGAATTGATTATCATGTTCAGGGTGACACCATCAGCATCATTCTTTTGTTCCATAAACACAAAACTTGGATACTCTCTTGTTTTCGTTTTATACTTTGCTAAATCGTCTGTACGGACATGTAATACAAATAGGAGTATAATATAAGAAGAATGTGGTAATAAAAAAGTTTGATATTTTGCCATTCTCATGTCAAAAATATCTATATTTTATTACATTCAATATTTAATATAAAGGGTAGATTCAATTACATATTATAATTTTTTTAATTTTATACATATTCAAAACAATTAGATGAGTAAAAATATGTATTGCTTAAGCCTATTAAATTTTTTCCAGGCTGAAGAACCCGACCCTACAAGGCAACCTCCGGAGGGGCTCAAAGAACCCACCACTCTGTCCCCCCGTTTTTTTCTAGGATTCCCAGCCAGCGCGGTTCGAACCTAGGACATGAGACCATGTCATAATCCCAAGAGCCCTTGCTTTGCCAACTGGGCCACGCCTGCTGTGGTTAAGCCTATTAAATTGTTTATTAAATAGTTTATGGATATCTATATGTATTGTTTGGATCTTAATTAAATTGATATTATTTAAACTAATATTAAATAGTTTATATTTTATTTTGATAAAAAAATTAATGTACTTTAACTATTTGGGGTGTGTAATTGCACCAAATATACAAGTGCATGTATAATTTTAAATATTCATATATTTGGTTGTCTACAGTTCTATTTTATAATCAATAATAATAAGAACATTAAATTATATTAAATTTATATTTTCAAATTGTATATAATATAAAAAAATTAAAATCTACTTGAATATAATATATTCTTTAACATAATTGTGCAATTATGTTCACGATTTTTTTGGAAAGGTTCAGACAAGGCTGCACCTGGTGCAAGAGTAAGTTGGGAAAAGCTGTCTCTCGAAATCCGAAGGGGGTCTAGGACTTAAAGACATTAAGTCTTGGAATAAAGCATGTATTATGCATTTGATCCGGAATATTCTTGCGAATGAGGGTTCATTATGGATTGCCTGGATTAAAACCTATGTTATCAAAAATTCTGATTTTTGGAACATGGAGGTTGGAATTAACTCAAGCTGGAGCTTTCGAAAATTGCTTAGTATGAGGCTTCAGGCTTCCTCTGTTCTTGCTTCTGGAGCCTAGTCGATCAAGGACATTTGGCTCCTGATTCGAAACAAGGAGGAAAAGGTCACTTGGCACAAGTTGATCTGGTTTCATCTTCATATTCCTAAGTATAGTATTATTACTTGGATGGCTTTTTTAGACAGACTACCAACTAAAGATAGGCTGATACGAATGGGGTTCAACATTGATGATAAATATGTGCTTTGCAATGACTCGTTGGAAACTACAAATCACTTATTCCTTCATTGCGCTTTGGCTAGTTCTTTATGGGATGCAGTTTTGAATCTCAATGGCATTCGTAGAGGATCATGTTCATGGGACATTCACTTAGCTTGGGCTTCTTGGAAAGGTAAATCCTTGCTAACTACTATCATGAAGTTAGCTTGGACTACTTTTACTTACACTATTTGGGAGGAGAGGAATAAAAGAATATATCAAGAACGCTCAAGATCTTTTGATGACTTATTCCATGCTATTCAAGAGTTTGTTGCTATCCATCTAAGGGTAGGAATATTAATATGAATGACAGTGTTAATATCACACTTTGTAATCAATGGGTATAGATTATTGATGTTTTGTTTTGTTGTTTATAGCTTGTAAGTAGTCGGTTCTTTTTGTATGAACAGGCTGTTTTTTTGTAGTAGTTAACTGCTCTTGGATAATAAAATTGATTTATCCAATATATATATACACTATAACATTAATTCACATTACAATAATAAATTTGTCTTCAATCTCAACCAAAAATACCACTTATTAAATTAAAACGTTTGGGGATGACAACAAAAAGGAAATTGATCAAAATGGAAAATTTTATATCTCCCACCAAAAAGAACATTAATAATTATTACTTGCAAGGCAACCAGATGAATCATGGTTGTGGTCGGCAGCAGGTTTAGCACACCGTTGAGTAGTGTAGAAGAAGGTACCGAGTTGATATTGAACTAAATCACGATATAAAACGGTAGGCCGGTTCGGGAGCTTGATGCCTTTAAGTTCTCCGGCGAAGTTGGTCAGAATATTGCAAGTAGCATGTGGGGAAGACACTAACCTAATCAAGCATGATTGGGGTTGCAACTCTTTGCCATTAACGTATTTGTTGACAGCCATATTGAAGTTCCCTTGTTCGTCGGTTTCATGGCTTTCATAATATATGATTCTGCTTCGGTCGTCCTTGCATGTCACTGATACTTTACCACCTGCCAATCGTTCATTTGAAAATTTACGAGGAAAATACGTTACTAGTTTAAAAAATAAACATGCCAATAGAGGAAATAATGTAAAATGAGAATGAATATCATGAAAAGTGTGATGTTAATGGATGAAAGGAAAGAACCTTGAATGGGATGGGTGCCTTGAGTCCATTGTGCATAGCTTTTGGTGCAGTCGTGGCACATGACTTTGCCTCCCACATGTATAGTTGGAGAGTAGGAACCGCCGTGGCTACCGCGTATCCCATCAGAAATGAGGTCGCCATTAACATCATTACAACTTTTGTTGCCATTTTCATTTCTGTATCTTCTTTTGAGGAAACGACACACATATATATGATTTAGGGGGTGGAAGGGCACTACTCGAGACGTGTAATCCATTTTTCATTAGTTTACATGTGGTGAATTTTTTAAGGCATGATATATTAAGATAGGCTCAAGTGTTTTTTTATATGAAGAGGTTGAGGATTGTGGGAAGACAATAATAAAATAACCCAAAACGTGTTTGTTGTTGCGTTGTACTTGTATATTTCATACCATTTTTTTAGTTTTTTTTTATAGATATTTGAAGTTTATAGCTATATATAAATAATAATTTTTATAATTTTAAACTATTGATTGATGTGATATATAAAACAGATAATAGTATATCAACATGAAAGTATATAAGAATTAGGGGTATGAATCCATACAATAAGATGAAGCAATAGAAAATTGAAAGAGAGATGTTAAACGAAGCAATAATAAAGATGAAATCCTTTGTTTTTCTCCTCTATACATATTTAAGGGGGAGCAATTCAGGGCCAGCATATCTATTGATTCTATTCTGCAAAGCTAACCATCGAAATCATCCCACCCGGCTTCTAAAACAAGGATGGTTTAACAGTAAACCAGCTGGACCTGAGGGCGGCTTTGAAGCCCTCCTAATCTCTCCAGTCAGGAACCTGCATCCAACATCACATATGAAACTTGTGAAACTTACCCTTGCGGCCAAATTGCCCTGCTTTGCCATTTCTATGCAAGTAAACCTCAAAATTGGGCTCAAGAAGAAGGTCATAATTGATCACCAAATTCACCTGCAGAAACAACATCGGGATGCTGCACTTTTGTAAGTAGCTAGGCAACTCGGATAGAAAGGATGTGATGCCTGCTGCTGGTCGAAACGCCGGGCAAGAAGATCGGTCGAAATGATACCTATAATTATTCTTTTGGCCTGTAACGTCCCAAAGGTCATTGATCTTTAATCAAAATAATGTGTTCATTGTGTGTGACTTGCCAAGAGGTAATTGCATGAGTGTTTCTGGTTGCTGTTGGATATATGAAGATGAATAATATGTGTACAATCTGGATTTTGTGTGCATTTATGACGCATAGAGGCATTACATGATGGCATGAATGTTGAGGTAAAATCAAGTGAAGAGTAAATGCATGTAGGGCTTTCATTTAGCTTTGAATTGTGCATTGCTTAAAATGTTGGTTGTTCATTGGGCTTTTCAGCTCACAATCATTTTTTAACACTTTTCAGAAGACTAGTAGCTGAGTCGAAGGTGTGAAGCGAACATCCAGAGTTGTCGAGTAAGGCATTTTTTAATAAAGTGTATGTAGTTTGAATCCATATAGTGGTAATGTGGGAATCATTTTGGGACCTAGACTACTTTTGATTTGCTAAGTTGTAATAACTGTGGCATGATGTGTAGACCATTGATTTTGTGTTTGGAAATTGCTTTTTGAGTTGATCCATTGATTTGGAATATTGAACTAATGTTGTTGGTTGTATTGGGCATTTAGTTAGCCAAATGTTGATTTGTGCCATAAAGAAGTGTTTGGTATGTTAGACAAGTGACATTAAGTCTACTAAACTTATTAGACTCTTAGGACGCATGAAATGACCTAAAATACATAATTGGACTAGGTGACTAATGTTAAAAGTGAACTTTTATGCAATGTTTGACTTTTGATGCAAGATTCTTGAATGATGTTGTGACTTGAGTAACGAAGCCTGATATATATGTATTTTGACATGTATGATATGGTATGAAAGTGTCCAAGCATGTATATAGTCCCTATGATTGATTATATGGAAGTTTGGTAACTCATTTATGCATGTTCTTGAGAATTCTACACTTTTCTAGAAAAAATAATCGATCATGAGGGGAAAGGATCCATCCCTTGGCCAAAAAGATCGATCCCAAACTCACTGTTTTGCAAATGATCAATCTCCTGTGAAAAATTATCAATCCCTACTATGTGTCCTCGATAAAAAATGATAAAATTGCATTCATTAAAGACCCTAAGTATCCGTAAGTATTAGTTTGACCCCGAGATGTTTATAAAAGTTTAAAATAGTCCAAAAATTGATTTACTAATTAGTATTAAACCTTAATTTGGAATTTGGTGAGACTTGGCTTGTCACCCTTAAACATACTTAATTACATAATAAAGATGTAAATTGCTTGCTTGTTGGTCATAAGTGACTTTTGAATTGTTTACATTTTAGTCACTAGATAAGCATGTTCAATTAAGTCCCTAAAAGAAATCTAAATAATTTGGAATTTTTCATGTCATTAATTAAGGGGCAATGATAAATATTGGTGAAACAATTTAGTATTTCCATGTTGAATTATTGATGTTGTGAATTGAGTTATTCTTGTTTAACTTATATCGAACATCTTGCATTGTATCGATTGTTTATTTAATAATAAATTGTTTTTCAATTGTTCGCTGCCACGTGTTACATGAAATATGATTTAAATTTGTATGCTTCTGCATAGTGCACGTGATAATGTTTTTTATTTGTCCAACAAGGTTCGGATTCTAATGTACGCTTAGGTACCCGGGTTGTTCTGTGTAACCGGGTGTGGAGAGTTATAATGTCACACTAATAACCAAACTATACTACATGTGTCCACGACATGATCATGCTAGCAAGCAGGAATATTAGCATACATGGGTGCTAAGCTAAACACATAAACAAAGGTAGATATCATGATGTGGATGGAGGGTTTCACTACATTTTGGGCCACACACCCCTCTAGCCTGCCTAGGTGAGATCCAAAATTTCTACATTGGAAGCATTCACCCTGCCAACCTACTCTTTGTGAGTACTTGGGGCTTCTACACCCAATCAGCAACTTAAATGCCTTGTGCACTAACTGATACATGTTCGGACAATTTAGCATACAAGATGATTGTTATAATATTAGATTAACTCGGGTGTCTTGATCGTTTTTCGAAAGTCACAAAAAGGTAATTTTATGTCTTTCTAATTTATATCATTTCTACTTGTAATTATAAACCTTATTGTTGTTCTCACTTGTAGTCTTATTTACAAAGTTTTGATGACCTTTGATCCCCTACCCAAAATACTTGAGATGAGATGGGTTCTTTACCCAATTCAAGATGAGGGTATCAACACTAGGCCTCTCAGTATCGATACTCATCTTTTATCGGTACCAACTTGAGTTACTAATACTAAAATAGGCTACTGGAATTCAAGGAGTTCTAGAAGTATCGATACCCCTAATTGGAGTATTGGTACTGGGATGCTGGGGTATCGATACCAAAATAGGCTACTAGAATTCAAAATCTAAAAGTGGTATCAATACTCCCCACTTGAGTATCGATAGCTTTGGAACAATATCGATACCTAATGAACTGGTACCTATATTCAGCTAAAACACCTTATTGTTTTAGGTTACTCGAAGAACAATATCAGTACAGTTCATCCAATACCGATATTATTACCCAGAATGTCCTGTTTTGGCATGAAAATATGACTTAATAATACCCATTTGTCTCTCTAAGACCATCAAATAATGTTTAAGTCTTATGTAAGTTGATAGAGATCATAAGGATTCATTTATCATTCTTTATAACATCATAAATAAGGCTATATGCTTCATAAACTAATGCAAGTTAAGCAAGAGCACCTAGTGATTCACACATGGTATAAAGAGGTTAGAAATGTGTTACCTTGCCACTAAGAAAAACGTTTCTGATTTTATTAGTTGATCTCATCTTATACAAGTTTTGAGGGTGCTAAAGTTTTCAAACATAATTATTGGTTGGGTACGAACTTGCTTGATTTTTTTATTATAGTGAATTGTTTATTGATAGATTTCTTTTTAGAGGAATAAATGAGTGTATATAGTTTTAATTAATTATATATATATATATATATATAATTTTATAATAAAGATTATTTTTTTTATGAATGAAGAGTTTTATTTATCCAAAAAATTCATATGTTTTAGTATATCGTAACACTAATAGTAATGTGCTTACTTATATTGTGTATGGGAAGAAAAGAATTATAGGCACTTTAGGAATGTGCATAGGAGCATAGGTGACATTGTGATTTGTATTAAAGGGATAGTGAAGATGTTCTTAGGAAAGCTATTTGGAGTGATGCTGTTAATAGGGACCTTTGAATAGCTTGGGATATATAGTCTTAGCCTCTTAGGGGGTGGTGTTGTATTCTTTTGCTTGTAGCAGTGGAATACTGCTTCTTTGGATAAATAAAACCAAACTTATCCAAAAAAAAAAAACAACACTAATAGTAATGGAAATACAATTATAATCCATGGTGGCCTGCATTGTAACAAGCTTTAGCCTACTTTCTTGCTTTAAGTTGCAGATTTTTCTGAAAAAAGCAAACATGTTTGATCATACAATGATTATAGCTAAACTGGGGTCCAATTTATCATTAAAGTTTAAGCCATAAGGTGACTGTCACTAGCCTAAAACTTGATTTTTAAGATTTTTACAAATCAGGTTATACTGACAAATAGTGCATGTCTGTCTGATCAATGGTCCAGGAATCTAAATATTTTGGACCACCCTGCCTCATCAACACAACCTCAGAATTTATCTAATCTACAAATACTTGTATCCCTGAACTACTTTCTATTGATTCTGATCTGAAATCAAGATGGATCTAATCTGTAATCGATCTTAAACTGAAACAGAAACGATTCCATTTAATAAGAATCCCGATTCATAAACTGAAATGGGTGATAGAAAATCTGCAACACCAATTTCATATTCATTGCGTATCATTATCAACTACAAAGGAGGGGTTATTCCTTTCTTCCTTCCAATATCTTTAAGTGTACCTTGACAACAAGTGTGCATATTCTTTTCCCTCAATTCAAGCACCTTTCTCCAAAAACCCCTTTGAACAATCTTTTCATCCATTCCCTTCACTCCATCTTATATTCTGCTATGTTCCACATTCCCACCTCATTTGCCTTGAAGGTTTGTCCAATGTCCATCTGTCATATCTTTTTTTCCCCCTGAATGGACCATCTGTCATATCTTTAATCGCTTAAATACGGTGGCTTTCTTTCTTAACTCTCAATGGTCCGTTTTACAAACTTTGGTGAATTAAATCACCGGAGAGAAACCCCAAAAAAACATTTTAGATATTTATATTTAATACATCAAACGGTTTCACTGATTAAGAAATTGTTGTTCTCTCTCAAGATCCCAAGTTTTTGAGCAAGACACCTATAAAGATATACGAACTATTATTATCATATGGTTAAGAGTTTTACTAGCATATATTACCTTGTATTCAATTTTTTTACCACGTGCAAATGAATAAGGCCAGTTTCATTTCCAGAAACAGATAAAACGGTTAGCATTTAACCATTAATGTTACAATGAATGGGGAGTTACATTACGATTTAATGAATACATAAAAGTGTGGGTTTATTTTTGTAACAACCGATGGCGTGGGAGTAAATAGGTTGGGGGATCCTTCAGCCTTTACTCTTTAGCTGTTGGTTGGTGAATCTGAAGACAGATTTTAATTGGTAGGACCAATTAAATCAATTCATCATCATCACCTATTGAGGATACGTCTCTCGATGCAAGTCTCATGGATAGAATCAAATTATTTTTTTTTAAATTCTAACTGGTAATTTTCGTTTTATAATTTTGTCAAATTAAATTAGATTTTAAGCTATCAGAGTAGAGTTTCAAATCCAATACATCAAATTGAGTCCTAATGGTATCCAATAGAGTACAAAGCAAACCCTCAATCCCATGTGTTAACCAAATTCCTCCTTGTTTTCATTATTATCATCATTCAATAATATAAGTTTACTTGATTGACGTTTATTTTCTAATCGATAAGAAATTAAAGTGTCTTTTTCATAAAAAAAAAAGTGGGATAAGCCAAAAGTTTAACCGATGTTAATTTTGATTAGATTCTTAATTATTGTAAAAAAGAGGCACATGAAGCTAAAGAAGAAAGAAGTAATGGTCACGGCTTTTAATGTAAGATTAAGAAGAATCTTAATTAATTTGACAGTCCACATGAGAAAACACCGAGTGTCCTAATTTTTTTTGTCATCTTTCCTATTCCAATCCTTTAGGAAAGAATTCCATTAAAGAAATCATAAATACATCCTTTTAACTTATGATAAACTACTTATTTGGCCACTCACCTATTACTTAACTTTTATTTTAACCATTCAATTATTATTTGTCTTTAAAATCAGTCTGTCGGTATATTTTAACTGGATTTTAGTCACCGGCCCGTCGTTAAAAAAATTAATGGTGATAATGACATGTCGGTATAAAGTAATGACAAGTCAATGTTGAAAAAAAATAAAAAATATATATCGCATGAGTATCACCGTTAATTTTTAATGACGGTTGACGAAAACATAATATTGACTATAATTTTAGAAAAAATAATAGACAAGTGATCAAAACATAAACTAAATAATAGGTGTAATATTTTATACATTAGGATTAATTGCGTCATATGTTCTCATACTATAGCCGATATTTTAAAGTGATCCTAAATTTAAAAATATTTTAATTAAGTTCTGAAAGTAAACTGAATCGGTTTAATGAAAAAAAAATTACGTTTTAAAGCATTGAAAAGGAAGATTAAACAAGTAAAATGAGTAAATTTTCTCGTGGTAGTGGTAAGGAGGAGTTAAAAAGCCTTGATTCTTTAAGCCTCTTTTGCCCCAACCAGCATATATTCCAATAGAAGTGGGCAAAAAAAGGCTAAAATTCTCCATCTTCCTTTTTCATTTTCTTTGGGTGGGAAAATTTTCTCTTACAATATGAGGAGCATAGCATCTTGTTACAATGAACATGCCATCAAAGTGTCGGATTCTTACTGTTCAGGCCCTTCAAACCAACCCTATCTCTCCCCGAACCTTGCCCCTCCATGTCCAAACACCGTGAAATCTATATACAAAGCTACAATCCCCTCCCAAAGACGCCTCCTCATCACCCTAACATGGTTCAACAATCGCCTCGGCCATGGCCTAACGATCAACGTTGGCGACACCGCGTCGAAACTCAACGCCAACACGCAGTACCGTCTCTCGAAAAGAAAAGGCAGCAAAACGTTCAAAGCCTGCAGTTCGGAGATTGAAGTCGTTTGGGATGTTTCCGATGCTCGGTACATCGATGGACCCGAACCGAGTTCCGGGTTCTCCGTCGTCGTTTTGGTCGACTCTCAACTCTGTTTATCTCTCGGAGATATGAATGAACAACAAAATCCAACAACACCGAATTTTTCATTGGTTTCGAGGAGTGAAGTTTTCGTAGGCACCAGTAGCGTCTACTCGACAAGGGCACGGTTTAGTGATAAAGGATTGGCTCACGACATACTAATCAAATGCAACGAGGAAGAAACCGGGAAGCAAAAAGGAATGAGGAACCCTGAATTGACGGTGACCATTGATGAGAAGAAGACAGTTCAAGTGAAGAGACTGAGGTGGAATTTCAGAGGGAATCACATAATATTTCTGGATGGGATTGATATATGATGTGGGATTTGCATGATTGGCTGTTTAACCAGGCATCAGGCTGTGCTGTGTTCATGTTTAGGACAAGGAGTGGATTAGATTGCAGGCTTTGGTTTGAAGACAAGGTTAAGGAAAGAGACGATGGGTTCTCCTTGCTGATATGTGCTTGTAATTGTGAGAATCCTCACTAACTTCTTTCTAACTAATTCAATTGGGTTTTTTTTTTCTTTAATTAATATTATCTGAAGTGATTTTTTTTTATTAGAATTTTGAAATTTCAAAGAAGATACAGTTAATCTTCTGTTTATAGGAAACTTGTATGCTTAACTTGGAATGGAGGGAAGGGAATGAATAGAAAGAGTTTTAAAGATCAAATTGTAAATGGAAACTTCTTCCATGGTTTGTTTCAATAAATTATGTAAGTGTTGAAAATATATATTTATTTATTTATTTTTACTTTTGTCATATATTTTTATGATTGTGTTTGTATATTCATTTCGGAGTTTGTTTCAGATACAATTATTTTTCTTAAATGTGTTATTTGATTTTTTAAATTAGTCTGTGCAAAATTTTAAATATCAATTGGAGTCAAATTTTAGTAGTTGATTTAGATAGAATCGAATTGAGCCTGCATCCTCTGCACTTATTTGTGGAGTGGTGCTGAAGGGAGACAGGGCAAGTCAAAGGACTGCTTGAAATGAGGATGAAGATATGGAAGACATTAGGTTTGTATTCTTGTTTAGGATAACTACGAAGACAGTAAGGCTTTTGTCTCTTCCGGGAAATTAATAAAGAAGCAATGGCCCCTTTCAAAATGAGAAAATACCCCACTTATTCACATTAGATACGTTATCTCCCATAGGGTTTGGATTCGTTTTGATTAGAGAGGATATGTAGGCTATTGAACTCCAAGCTCCAATTCTTTTTACAAAAGTCGGTGTTTGATCGAATCGAGTTAAAAAATTTCGAATCATTCTAATCGACGAGTCCTATTTTATAACTCGAAGATGACTTAAATTTTTTTCGAGTTGAGTCGAGTTAAATTTTTGTGTTTATGTTTAAATTTAATTGTAAATATTTATAATATTATGATACTATTTTATTATAATTTAAATAGTTTTTTTTAATTATATATATATATTCGTATTTTTTCATATGTGATATACATATAGTATACAGAGCCGATAGACTCAACTAAAACTTAAAATTCATTCCACTAATTACTAAAAATTTTAAGTTATTTTAGTTATATTTTACAACTTGATTCCAACTTAAAATTTTTCGAATCGAGTTTATGAAATTACAACTCGAAATTAATTCGATTCAAGTTTTTTTGAGTCGAAAAGATCGATTTTTTAAATCGAATTAAAACATTAATTTTTGAAATCGAGTTTTTCTCAATCCTAATTTCTTGTACAAATTACAATAGAATGAATTATAATAAAAATATATTTCAGTTTTGTTATTATGAATTTCATCCATCTATCAACAATTTAATAGTACTTTAATTTATAATAAATTAATACTTTTTTCTTCTTTAAAAAGAGTAACCTACAAAACACGTTGGATTTACTTTTGAAACAAATAATTTCAGTTCGATTTCTAAAATAAGAGAAATAAATTAAATATGATAACTACAATATTTAATATCAAATTTAATAAATTTGATTAAATTTTAATATAATTTATTTAAAAAAAGACATTTTGAATAATAAAAGAAGTTTTAATGTGAAACGTGGACATGGTTTTCAAGTAGTCGGTGTCTAATTGAAAGAATGAAAGCTCAACCGTGTGGGCTGTCCGCTTGGGGTTAGCCACAAAGGCTCCTCATAAAGCCCATCGTTGTCCCTTTCACTTCATTTGCTCCTTTGTTGTCGCTTTCCAGCAATACAAGATAAAATCGCATTTAATTGAAGATTATTTTATATTATATTATATTATAGATTTTAATTTATTTTTATTTTAACTTAAAATAGTATTTTTATTTCATAATATATTTTTGAAAATATTTTAAATCTAATTATTAATATCAATTAATTAATTTAAATATGAATAATAATTAATTTATATTTTAATGTCGATTTTTTTTGAATTGTCAATTTTATCTTTTATTAAATATTATATGAAAGATGATACTGAGAGTTTCTTTGAGTAGAACTCAAATCCATTCCATCACTGTAATTACCATTGTGCTAGATTTGCAGGAGTGGTCTCAAAAGTAAGAGAACTGGCAGAAGCAAATGCCCTTTTTCTTTTTCTGAGAAAATGAAGCGATAACGACTGCAACCTATGACATTTTTTTTTAATTATTTTGCTGGGGTGGGAAGCTTCGTTACTCTACGAAACCCTTGGGTTTGGGAGTTTAAAGGTTTCCATGGAAAAGAAAACCAATCATAATCAATAACTCATCTCCACCTTTCTCATCCAATATTCTAAATTTCCAACCCTAAATATCAATGAAAGGTAATTGAGTTGTGTGCCTTGTGCTGCTACCGGGGTTCCCCGTCTATGAGTTTTCATGGACTTGACACACAAATATCATCCATTGCCAAGGAACTTAAGAGTGGTGTGATACACAACACCACCAAAAAGATCTTACGTCGCTTTTACTCTTCCATTTTTTCCTACGAGTTTCAGACCAGAGATTTTCCACTTCTTTTTACAACCATTCAACTAAAATGAGACAACAAGACTGGTTTTTTTTTCTTTGAAGCTATATTATTGTTACTATTATTACTATTATTTTGATTGTTTTCATTATTGGAAATAAAACATATTAATTTAAAAAATATTTATTGTTTTATATATGAATTCGAGAAGACATTGAGTACTTACTATAAACTCCCCACCGACTATAGATAAATTTAAATGAGGGGTGATTGATATATTGAATGTGAAATCATTTTTGTTGAAAAGAATTGAATGAAAATGAAAATATTTGCCGCTCTCTACGTCGTGAATATGTTATGAGTTGACATGGTCCCTCAATTTTCAACTGCACCCCCCATATTTATTCACAATACCAAATTCTTTCAATGTATAGTATAGGGGAACAAATCTATTTATATTATAGTAAAATAAAAACTATATTTTACCGTATTTAAAATTTCATGTCATGTAATTGCAGAGAACGTATTTTTTTTTTTAATATGCATGTTGAGTTTGTATATATCAAATAAATTACATCCTTTTGCTGTATAAGAAACTAGACTTATATGATTCATATGAACAAGACGATTTTTGGAACATATATATATAGATTTAACAGTCACGATATTTACAGATATATAACAGTCATTGGGATACTTATTTGGTAAAAAGTTTGATCCAATGTAAAGCCAACGCAAATAAAATCTGATAAATTTGTATGTTTCTTTCTTTTGTTTTATGATCTGATCCAAAGTCACTGTTTGCTTAACCTATGCACCGTACTGCATAGAAATTGTACATAAAACTTTGCACACGTGGGGGACATTTCCTGGACACAATCAGCCAAATAATATATACAGATCTACAGAAATGATAAAGAAAGAAATATCATTTTAAACCCTTTCTTCCCAGCAAGATATTAAGTTAAAAGCCATCAACATTCCATAACAATAAAACACAATTGGCTGTACGTATAAATTCTCATGATCGGTCAAACACAGCATAAATGGCCTCTATCGATATGGGATTACAATAATTGAGAAAAATTTCTCATGATCAGTTGCTGAGCTTCAAACCATAGTTTTCCCACAAGTTATTATCCCCGTCAGCCATGAAGAACCGAAAGCAACCATCGTTTACACCATGAGAGGACCCATCGTTCGCTTGCGTACTGTACATGGATTCATTTTGCTGCTGATGATAATAATCGTATCCTCTTGAATTCTCCTTCCGTTTTTTGTTACCGAACCTCTCCTTTGTTTTCATTAGGGTATTCCAATTGTTTTTGCACATTAAACCACTCCTTTCGAAGCCTAAACAACTCATCTTAGCAGCTATTTCCTCCCACAAAGCAACCTCTTCCGGATACCCTCCCTGTTGGAGCCTCGGTTCCATGGCGTTTCTCAGCTGTATCAGCTTAGAAACCTCGGCTTCTTGCCACCCGTCCGCCTTTTCATTATGGTTCTCACTGTCGGACGATGCGGTAGCAGCATTCGATTGTTTGGCGGTCAAGTTCTGCAATGCCTCCATTAAAGCAGCATCACGAGCTTCGATCCAAGATCTCTCTTTAGCCCAAAACTTATGCTCTCTATCGATCCTACTCGCTTCTTCTTTCCTCCACTGTTCTTCCCTTAAAACCCTCTCCTCTTCCTTCTGCTCCAGCATCCTCGTCAGTTTCACAAGCCATGCCTCTTGCCTCTCCATTAGCATCCCGATTTGAGAATCGATGAACTCTTTTATCTTCGCTTTCCATCTCTTGTGACCCCTTTTCTTTGCGGTGCTCAACTCATTGTTATCAGAGGAAGAAGAGTCGAATTTGGAGGAAGTAGAGAGGCTAAGACTATTATCACAAAACTTTTGAGAGTGATAGATCTCTTGATTTGGTAGAGAGCCATGAAACTGGAAACTGTTCCCTACAAGATGAGATTCTTGGCCTGAAACGCCATTGTTGTTGCTGGTATTATCTCCATATAAAGCTTCGAGTTGACGAAAGAATCTGTAGTGTTTACCGTCTTGTCTACCAGCCTTCCCTTCCTTAGTCTTTTTATAATATTTATACAAATTTTCGAATTTCTCCCTGCATTTTTTCCCACTCCTTTGGTACCCATGTTCCTCGAGCATGATCCTACAAAAAAATGGCGATGAATTTAAATTTGCAAGTAAACTCAGATAAGTTAATTATTTGACCATTCAATTTTTGCAAAAGATAAGACTTTGCAAGGTGACTAATGAAAACGTCGTCTCATGGATAGAAACTAGCAAATGGGCATTTAAAACATCGAAAAGGTTTGTAATTTTTATGGTAAAAACCAGCACAATAATGGAGGCAACACATTTTCAAAGGAAAAAGGGGGCAACTCAGTTATAAGACTATGGAAATCTTTTCAGAGATAAAATCAGAAAGAAGAAACTCGTGAAAAGAGAAGAAAAAAAACAGCAAACATCAAAACTGTTCCTGCTTCTCCTTCTGATGCTTAACTTCAACTTGTTAACAGTTTATACTTTTTCCTTTCCTAAAGCCATTAATTTGTTTCAGAAGTTC